CTCGATAGCAGCAATGAAGCGTTCTGTCCTGGTTTGGATTTGTTTCTCAACAAGTGAAAAGATGTGGAACTTCTCAAAAAACCATGGGGATACCATGATTCCTTCACGACGCTTCAGTTGGGCGTTCTCTTTCCTTAAATTTGCCATTTCTTCACTCACATTTGCCTCCAGGATCAAGGAATCCTGATAGTCGAGGTCATATTGCTGAAGGCGGCATTGATATTCTTCTTTTTTTGTTTGGACAGTTGTACCAGCCGAGAATGTTTCTGCACTTTAGTCCATGTATGAGGCCTTGGTCCGGGTCTTTTTTTGCTGAAGCAATTTCTTTTTTTGCTTGGACAGTTGTGAAGCTATCCACAATGTCTTTCTCGAGAGTTCTTACAGCAGAAATACTGTGGACATTGCCCAACTTTCTCATTGCTGCAGAAACCATAGCATACATGGGGAAATTTTTAGCTTGATTTTCGTCCAAAATCATCAGATGTACCTGGTGCATAAAGTGCGATTTCTAGCATAAGACATGGGATAAAGTTAAAAGGATTGGATATTATATAAGCATCAACAGATGCTTAAAATGTTCACATTCACCGCCATGGACGGTGATACAATAACTTCTTAAAATAAGGAAGGACTCTATTACAAGGAAGCTGAATTCATACAGCAGTCTGAGAACGAGAGTCGTTCCCCGGTTGGTTTTCAAATGTTCCCTCGACAGGGGGATTCCTTTCCTCGTCTCCTCTAGTATACCCCATGACTGGGGGATCTTGGTCCTTCGCACCCGAATTGCCTGTGTCGTTCTCCTCAGCAGTCTCGTCTTTATCTTCCTCTAGGTCAATTCCAAAATACTCGTCGGAGACTTCAGGTATTGCTAATTCCTTGCCAGGACCTCTCATGAAAACAGAAGCCACATCCCCGGGAAATGAGACAATGTTTTCGGGCGTACTCATCTTGGACAGAGCTTCACACAAGGGCTCCCACAGGGGTAGCTGATCCGTGGATAGCTTGCAAAGACCCGGACCAAGGCTTCATACATGGTCTTCTTTGGGTTTTGCTTCAGAAATTGCTTGAGCCACTTAGCCTTAACAGGCTTTTTTAACTTCAATCTCTTTAAGCCCTCGACGGTAATTGCATGGCCACCATAAACCATCGAGGCAGTATTAATCTCCTCCACAGCAACGGTCATCCCCCCTGATGATAGCATCCTCCACCAAAACGCAGTGCACCATTTATTGAGGTCCTCCTTGGAAATGTGCAGGTCGCAGTATTCTTGAAATTTTTGCTTCAATTTCTCCAAGCTGGGTTTGGACCGAGGCCAGCTCTACTTCCTTGGCTTGCAGCTGCTGGTTCTTCTCCTCGAGAGCCTGCTTCTTGATCAACGCTTGGTCTCTCTCGCCTCGAGCTTCCGCTAGTTCTCGCGTTAGTTCCCTGGACCTTTTGGCATGGTTCATCATAACTGCGCTCATTTGTGAAAACCAAACACAGAACAGATATACACTCATGCTAAAACATGGAAATAAATGAATGCGTATGGATTAAGATGTTTACCAATTTTAATCCATCTGTCTCGGTAAGGTTGGCAGCAAATTCTTCCAGCACAGGGCACTCAATGGTAGGAGGATTGTCGAAGGTATGAACCGCGACAGAAGGGCCCCAGCAGGTATCTCAGGGGGCAGGATGGTTACATTCCCCTCGAAAGGGCCTTTTCCCTTCTCGACAGGGAGAGGTTGAGTGCTTGGCCCAGTCTCCTTCTCTGAAGGGCGCCTCCTTTTTGGTCAAAGGAGGAATGGTCTCCTCGCCCTACTTTGCTGCTTCAATTTGCCTTGCGGAAGAAGTGTTGGTTTTTGACTTCTTTGTGGTTGGTCCCTTCTCGAACTTCCTTGCCACAACCCTCTTCTTCTTCTTCTTTATCTTCTCTGCCACTGATTTGTTGTGGAAGCATTCACTTCTTAGTTTACAACATTAAAGGGGTTGGAGTCACCATATAATCCGGAACCGGCGTTTCCCGATGACACGACCTAAACACACAGAGATAATAACGAGATTAGTACCTTTATTTTCCTCGAGAGGGACATCGAAGGTTTTGTCAGCTTCTAATTCCTCGACTGGTATGACAGGAACGAAATGTTGCACAGCTCCATACTCGAGTATCTTGGGATACCTCTCGAGTTTTTCTAAGTCACTATCAAATTCTTTATCTTCTCCTCATCTTTCTTCACCCTTTCATTTTTTCTTGCCTCGAAACCTTCGGTTTCTCGATAATTTCAAGCTTAGCAGTATTTTTCAGGTGCCTTTACATACAAAAAATTGGGTTTCCATATGGGAGACCCACTATAAGCTTCTACTATCTTTCGAGAGCTTGACGTAAGGTTTCTTTTCAACATATACCAATCCTGAAAGACTGTAGATGGTTTTGACACTCTAAAAAAGTACCTCTACAACATAAGACATGGTTTCACCTTGGCTCGTTGGCATTTCTTTACAAAACCGAGAACATATGTTATGAGGTTTGGGGTGAATCGAGCTAGTGAAATTTTATAATATTGCACAATCTCCTCAAACAAAAGAAAAAGGGAGAATCTCAACCCTAGAAACATGAAGCAGTCGTAAATGGTGATCTTTCCTTCTGGAGTAGTACTGGCTCTCTCAGTTCCTAGGAGAGCTCTCATTTCTAAATCCTGGGGTAGGTCATATTTCGTTCTCACCGATCCGACCTTCTCGTCAGAATTATGGTGGAGGCGAAATCATCTACGGTTTTCAGATCTGGGTTCCTAGTCATGGTTCAACCTACATTTATACCAATCTATATTTAACCGCAGGAAAATGAAAGGAAGAAAACGGAGTTGAGAGTCGTAGATCTGGGAACTTACTTTTGGCACTATCGACAAAGGCTTCCACTCCCCTTTTGAGTTGTAGCTTCCCAGAGTTACAATAGTCACCGGTGGCGGCGATTCCTAGGCGTCGGCTGGTGGAGCAAATGAGTGGGTTGTTGATATTACAGTTGAGAAACCTTCTCTGACCGTGGCTTCTTATCAAACCAACGGAGACAGATATTACCGACGGTGATAACTGGGGCACAACGGTGAATGTGGGGAAATTAGATTTTCACAAAATAGGTTTTGAGAGTAGAGGAGAATTGTTCTTTTCTAAAATGAAATGGGGAGAATAATGAGTCCAAAAGGTTTTATATATTGCTGTTGCTGCCCACGATTTGACGGTTGTAACTAACATTTTAGTTAAACTGGCCACTTAACGAATTGTGCATCCATATTATGAAATTTTGAGAGGTTCAACATAATTTAGAACTACTTAAACTAGTCTATGACAACAGAGAGAACAACCCTTAGTTTCAATCATGAAGGAGAGTTAGTTGATTAGGATCATTAGGGTTTAAGTTCTTAATGGCCCGACATATAAATAATTATAATAGAGATATAAATTAATTGGTTATGCTGGGACTCTTTACTTGTATCGAAAGTGAACGTGAGGAATATTTGTGCAAGATTAGATAATGATCATATGTGCAAAAAGAACTATAAAAATCATAATATAATCATATAGATAGGAAGGAGAATGATTCTAGTTCTTCATCACTCTGTCAAGTGACTTCTCACTCTCCTAAGTGACGATCTGTTATGTTTCAGTTTTCATTTGCACTTTAATAAGATTTTTATTGATTTACATCTGTCTTCGTGGATCGACCCTACTTACTGCTTGCTATAAGTTTTGAGTATGTTAAATTTGTTTTTGGTGGTATCAATGATTGTCTACCAATTTTGTACTCCAGTCATAATAATTTATCTCTATCAGTATTTAGTGATGTTGATTGGGGGAAATGTACAGATTTACGGTTTTCCCTCAGTGGTTTCTGTGTGTTCTTGGGTAATTCACTTTTTTCCTGGATAATAAAAAAATAGACAACCGTTTCCCGGTCTTCCCATGAAGCTGAGTACAGAAGCATGGCCTCATATGCTTGTGAAGTATAATGGATACATTATCTTCTGACAGATCTTCACTTCACTCCTCTTATGCTCATTCCATTTGCTTGTGACAATCAATCAGCCCTCCATGTTGCTGCCAATTCAACATTTCATGAACACATTAAGCACCTTGATATTGATTGTCATATCATGCGTAATTTGTACAAATCAGGGTTCATTGATCTTTTCCATCCTCCATCTCATCTCCAACCTGCTAATTTGTTTACAAAGATTCTTCCTGCGCCTCAGTTTTATTTTCTTTTGACCAAGCTTCGCCTTTGTGATTTGCATCATCCAAAAGCAAAAGTTTGAGGGGGAGGGCGGGAAGGGGAGCTCAAAAATTAAAGCTGAGTTGTAAATCATTGATCTGGATTCTTCTTCCAGTCAACAAGGTGATGTGAACGAGCTAGCACATGAGGACTTACATGATCATGTGATCAAGGAGAATCTGCATCTTACGTGACTGTATATAGCATAAGTAGAAGTAGTACCTTGTGTTTTAAGTATTATACATATAATTAGTTAGATAACGAACTGAGCTGGCATCTTAGAGATCACGCAATTACTTGTACGTATATGTAGCGGAATAACCAAATTCAGTGTGATGAATAAATCAGTTTTTCTTCACCTTAATTGTGTGAAAGTGTTCTTGAGCTAAACCCTAGTTTTCTTCAACAATTTTACAAAACTTCCAAATATCATTTGAACAACTTACCCTGTTAAAACACATATAGATTGCTAATTGATATTATTTGTAAAGTTTACATCTTTCTTTACAATGTTAATGCAGACAACTTTTACGTGACATACAAAAATACACATACGTAAGTTGTCACTTCTCCAATTCTCCTACGAGAAAATAAAGAAAAGAGACACCATTGTATTCGTGAGGGACGAATATACAATCACTCCCTATCTACAAGGACGATTGTGATAATATGTAATTTAACCGCCATTTTTGCTTTATTTGTTTATTTGGGGCTAATGGCAGAGCCACGTCATTCCAACCTCCCGCCCTTCAAATAACTTTTTTCCTTGTATTTTTTATTTCTATATTTTAATTTATTTTGGTGGTTTGATCCGTTTTTGTCACTTCAGTCAGTATAGCAGCATCCATGGCAGCAGTAGGGAGCTCAACTGTTACACATAATCTTCCCAAACGGAAATTCGGGTTATCAATCTTCCTTGATAGTAATAATCATGCCACCAGTTTCATCCCCATTGACAACTCCAAAAAGCCCTCCAAAATGCGAAGATTCGACACCCGTATCCAAATGGTCAATGCCAATTCTTCCCAGAAGCCCTCTGCCACTAATAATAATAATAGCTACAATAATGGTAGAATTTACAAAAGGTTTGATTCTTGTTTGATTGTTCCTCCACCAAAAGGGATAAAACCTAAAGCCATCATCAAATTTATAGGGGGCGCTTTTATTGGAGCTGTCCCTGAACTTTCTTACAGGTAATTTTCCCGTTTACTCTCGAATTTGTAGTTGTCTTGGCCCTTTGAGCAGATAAGTTTCATGTTCCTTTTGTTTTCCAGTTTAGTTGAAATCGTTTGAGTTGGGTCTTTTCTATCTTCTTGGCAAAAAAAAAACAAAGAGTAAATAATTATAAAAATAAATAAATATTGTGAGCAGCACATTAAACTGGACAGGGGAATCTATCTCTCTACTGAATTTGAATGTTATAGCTGGTAAGCTCTCTAGATTTTGAAAATTTGTTCAGTTTCCCCTATGGGTTTTCTTTCTTTGTTTTTCTGGTTAAGTTATTTTTTTTTTCTTTTTTTTAAATTTTTTTTTAAATACTGAAATTTCACGTATCCAGAAGTTTGTGTTGACAAATTTTCTGGTTCCAAATGACATGAGTTGGTAACGAAATGATAATTACTTTTGCTCGGGAATTTCATATTGGAAGGGAAGGGGAGAATTAATTAGATTTGACCTACTGTAGTTGTACTGCATGTTGCATGCTGTTTTAAGTTCGGTTCGTCATTGTTGTCTTTGCAGATATTTGCTTGAGCAACTAGCAAAGGAAGGATATTTCATTGTATCTGTGCCTTACAATGTGACGTTTGATCATGAAAAAGCCACCAGGGAAGTTTTTGAAAGGTTTCATACTTGTTTTGATCTGATTTTAGGATCTGATTTTCCGGAGTTTGGCGTTCCCCCTTTGGATCTTGCGAATCTTCCTCTTTACTCAGTTGGCCATAGGTAAGTTAAAGTTATTAGCATCAGTAAATCACAGATGAAGTCTTTTATTGGGAGCTCAGTTTTTCATGTGAAAGCATTCTACAGGGGGAGATTAAACTTTCTCTTCGTAGGGGAATTTTTAGCCTTGGTCTACTTTTGAAGTTTTGAGAGTTTTGATAATACTTTATTGCTGACAAATGCATAAGAGCAGCACAGGATGACTTTGATGTTCTTGAAATCTACATTTTGTAACTTTCTAGGCTATCAGATTAGAATAGAAAACCCAATCGTGCAAAGGAATGGGTCATAATATGAAAAAGTTTAAGTTGTTTCTCTGTAGATTCGAGTGAAGTGATCTGCAAAGTTGGCAGATAAAAAATTTTGGGATTTCTGTCTTTAAAAAATTTTCAACCCAATGGTGATCTGTGATTTTAATTTCGTAACTTTTAATACTCCAAGTTTGTCTCTTTTTTACTTCTTTTTAAGAAGTTTGGATTTTTGAATTTGTGTTCTGTGTGATGTTCTTTCCTTCATTCTTGATCAGCAGTATCATGATATCTTATATTTTCTTTTTCTGCTTTCCTATTTATTGGCAGCAATGGTGCACTTCTTCAAGCACTTACTGGGAGTTACTTCTCTGAGAAGATTCCAGAGGTACATTCTTCCTTTAAAATGCAATAATCCATTCTTTCCTCTGATAATTGAATTAAATTCTATTTTGAAAAAAACTTGTAGAGGTATATGGTAATGTTATACCAACTTTGGTTGCAGCAATTTATTTCCTGCATTCGAGTAGGGTTCTTAGTTCTTTTGGAATTAATGTGTCCTCTATGTCTCTACTAATGAAGGCAACTGCAATAATTTCCTACAACAATAGGCCAGCATCGGAGGCAGTGCCATACTTTGAACAGGTAAATTTATTTTTGTATATATATACACTCACGCACACACACAATCCATGACTGAAAGCATTATATCGCAAAGGGTTCAGTAACAATCCTGGTTGATTGTTTGGTACTCTATTTCCTTTGTTGTTTTCAATTGGTATTGCATTTACTTATAATTTATAGCTGGGCATTTGCTAATGGAATTACAATGCTGGTGGAAATATGTTTGATTATCTGATAATTGTGTCATAACAGTTTTTCCTGTTGCCAGTTGGTCTCTCTTTAACCGTACCACGTTAAGATAACTAGTGATGAGGGCACAACCATATGTGTGTGCTTAAAAATAATAAACCTAACTTAGATATATCCCTCTATGTAAGATTGACTATGTAGATCACATCTCGTCATTTTTTTCAAGGGTGACCATGAATGATATCTAACCTTGTTCCGTGAAAACACCAGTTCTCGCTCATGTTTGAATGTTATGTCCTTTTTAGATGGAAATTTATGCCTTGTGCTGTTTCCATGGTTACTAAGTGGTGCTCCATGCATTAAGTTGCTCCTAACACCGATCTCTAATTGTGGAACTTTGTCCTCTTCTGCATTGATTAAAACTGTATCTTATGCAAATAACATTGATTGCTTTTGTGGATGGATAGCAATCTTGTTAATTACCGATTCAAAAGAGTATGTGCTTAAGATGATCCCAAATGCCAACCATATGTGTGGACCATAAAGAATATTTTGAAATGCATTCTTTTAGTTAAGAATCATGGTTTGTGATATGAAAAGAATTGTAGACACTGTTGAACTGATTTTTATGAAAAAGAATATCATATTTTACCTGTTCGCGTGCAAAAATTGAAAGTGAGAGGCATTGGACAAACATCTGATCTCCGTTAGCTTTATTGTTGAAGTCACGGTGAAGTAAAACTCAGAAGTGGGTAGATGGATGCAACACAGTGACGCCATTCCTTGATTTTATTGTATTTCTGAATGCATTCAAGAGGGACTTTCTGTTGGTTCATTTGCTGGATTAGGTTGATTCTTTGTTGGTATTACATGTCCAAGGGGGTCGATCCTCTTCGTATGTAGTACATGTCCCTTGTAGTGATACCAGTTGTAAGTTGTAGCAGTGTCTTGATGAAAAGATTGGCTAGTTTGGTCCCAGGATTACTTTCATCTCATGTTGTTTGAGAAATTCATAGCCTGGTAGATATTGAAGCTCCACTTGTAAGCCCGGGCAGTAAATTAACTTCAAATTCTAATTGTTGAACTGCATCGGTTGGTAGACAGTATAGTTTTGTGACATAACGAACATAATTGTTGACTTTTCATGCTAATTGCCTGGAGCTTGGACTTCTTCTTTTGCCTGGTATGTGAAATACCTTTTAAGAAACATAATGGAAGTAGATTAAAATATGGGTATAGCGTGAAATTGTCATAGTGGATGCTGTAAAATTTCATATAACTATGTCACTTGAATGCAAGAATGAAGAAAAATTGAGACTGAAAGAATTTGGGTAGATTCCACATTGTGGGTTTTCTGCTGACAACTTTTTGAATCAAATGCTTTTGGCTTTAATTCTCTTTGTGAGTCTACTTGGTCCAATAACTTTTTCTTGTTGGTTGATTTCTTGAGAACTGAAAGTAAGCCATTGATGAACTGTTGGTTCACTTTACGTGATTCTTGTTTCTCTATTGTTATTCTTGCATCAATTTCACATTTTGTTAGACATCTGTTAATCCAATGATGAACTGAAAGTAAGCCATCCTGTAAATGAAAGACAAAATTGACTAAAAAGCAAATGGGCACCGGCTTAGTCTGAATTCCAGAATGATGGATGATAATTATGGTTAAAGGAGTCAGAAATATTCTTGAAACTGCTTTTGAAGATAGTTTTCCTTTACATTTAAATGGACTTGTACAATGAACAGGGTTATTTATATATTAGAAGATGTTACTAGGGTTGGGAACCATTCATATATTTATATTTTCTCAAACAGTTTAATGGTCAATTGAAACTCATTTGACTTTTCTTTTCTAGCATTTTCGCTTAAGCAGCTCTTCCTTATTTCCTGAAGTTTGATTTTATCAAAATGCAGTTGGGACCTCTTGTCAGCCAAATGATTCCTTTAATGGAAGCATCTCCAGTCTACTCATTGGCCCGGAATACCTCAGGTTGCTTTTATATCTTATAAACTTTTAATTTTATTTGGCTGCTGATATTTGATTCTGGCCTAGACAACTGATAGATAATCCACAACACTAGCTACTCTTAATTTGATTCTTGTTTCACCTTGCTAGTGATTCGCTGGTGCATGAGGTCTTATTTCAGTATGGAATTCTGAAGGTGTTTTTTTACAAATTTAAATAAGATAATACTTTTGAGAAACATTTGGATTTCCAGAAAAGAGTAGGTTAATTGGAGTATCCCCAAAATTACAATTCTAGAGCTGCATGGTTGTTTCTTTAACCAATGAATCACACCATTTGACAGTAACTTTACAAAATCCATCATAATGCAGTCTATGTTTAGCAAAAATGCATTGTACATCATTTTAAAATTGCCAAATTAAAGCCAAGGAAACGTTGAATGAGGCCTCGTTGTTATTATTTTGTGTAATAATAAGGCCATTACATGTGTGTTTTGGGCAAATAAAACAAGAATCCATTAACATATATCCTTTACGAGGAAGAGGCAAAAGGTGGAGTGTTACACTTTACATCTTTTGTTTTTTATTTTTTTTATATATTTTTTTAATGTTTTTGGTTAATTTTATTTTCTTTTGCTTGATTAATTTTGGTTATTCGCCCATGTCAAATGAATCATGGGTTTGTCATGTGACTCAATCTTAATAGTTTATGAGAAGATAGCAGCCAAGTGCTAGGGGCAAGATGACCTCTTTCTTGGGAGGGATTTAAAAACTTATTCGGCAATGTTTAAGGGACCAATCAGTTTCGTCAATAAAGAAAATTAAAGTATCTTTAAGTTTAGCTGATACCAAATGTCTTATCCTGACATTCAATGTTGTCTTGTAGAAAATGCGTGGAAATTGCTACTCGACACTGCTGGTACAGTTATCCCTAACTATGATGCGGAAGTGGCAGTTTCAGTGAACAAGTTTGTCGATCAGTTGCCCTCAGTTTTTAACCAGGTATTATACTTGGAGAAGTATCATCCAAGTCTAACCTAAAAGTCAGTAATACTGCATCAATTTTCCATTAATCTGATCTGAAACTCTACGCATGGCTATTATCGCACTAACTATAAACATATCTCTGACTGCGCTGTTTTCCATCCAGTGGTGAAACAGCTGCAGAAAGTTTTCTATCTTCGAATTGATCACTTTAATCTGTGAGACTATCTCACATGCGTGCCATTTCAGCTTGCTGAAGGGATTTCAGAGTTCAAGCCAACACCATCTCAGAATCTCAGCTGTTTCCAGAAGTCTTACAATGTTCAGAATACATTACTGGTTAGAGTTTTTCTCCATGCTTGATTTTGACATTGCTGGCCTAATCCATATTTTTAATCACTGTGATTTGACTCATTTTCAGGTGAAGTTCAATAATGATGCAATCGATGAGACAGATCTCCTTGAAGAGACTCTAAGGCCTAGGGTGGAATATATAGGTGGAAAACTACAGAAAGTTGTATTAAATGGAACTCACATAACACCATGCATACAGGTATGCTATGGCAAATTCTTGATCCAAGGGAATACTTTTTTTTTTTTTGGTTAACATCCTAGGCAATACTGAGTTGCCTTTCTTACTAATGAAATTTCACCAACCCACTGCTTTGCTTAATTAAACTGTATGTCAATCTCTTGGCATAATTTGGTACCTGCGAACCTTGCTTTCACTTGCTGCACCCATGCTTAGTAATGAGAAATTGTAAGAGAGACATATGTTTGCTTGCTGTCCGAGTGTTGTTACTTATTAGATAGAATGATAGTTTGTTAACCGCCCCACCCCGCGCGTGGTCCTAGAGTGTTCCGTGATGACGGGAATGGTATGCAGGTTTTGCATGTAACGTAATTATCCATTGACACTAATTTTTTTATTCTATTTTTTGGAGCCAACAGGAACCAAGATGGGAAGTGGGAGATGTATACACACCTGTAGATGCTGTTGCTCAAAGTCTCAAGGCTATTTCATTACATGAAACTAGAGTCCTCAGTAGAACAATTGCAGATTGGTTTGATCGTCTAGGCGCATAAAAATATGACAAGCAGCTAAATTCACGTTATCAGATGCACATCCTATCTGATGTTAGTCATCCCTGCTTTTTGAACTTCATATAGTAGAATTTGTCAGAACGTGAAGATTAACATTTACTGCTTTAAATCACACATAAAACTCGAACGTGTATTTTGTACAGGAAAAAAGAAAAAAAAGAGTCAAATATAAAAACCTTCCAGTCTGTCCATTGACTATAATTGTACATTCTTGGCCTCCATTTTCTCCATTCTTACAGAACCTAGTCTCCTTCCCCTTGTAAAATAGTCTCATTTCAGAGCAGCAAGAGGATAGTCAGAAGCATGTGGACTTTCAATTTTGGAAATGCATAGAATTCATTAATAATAACCTCCCTCTTATGGTGTTTCCCTCCGGAACGGGAGGGCTATGTATATGGTAAATGGTGGGGTTCATACTTGTAACATCTCAATTGCATGCGCTTTCTCTTTCATGCAGCATTTTGGCTGTAGATTTTTTTATTCTTCCATTTTCTCTGGGTTTACAATATTTTTCAGTTCTTCCTTCTTTCTTTCTTTATTTATTTTTTGGCTCCAAACAGTGCAAGGTTTGTTTGCAAATAGGACAGCAAAATGTTCACAAAGAGAACCTAAATTAAGTGTTTTAAAATTGTTTGATATTCCCTCTATTCTAAAATTGTTGTCCAATTTGAGATCTCACTTTTAATACAATTTAAACTAGAAATGAAAATTCATACTGAACAGTAATTATGGGACGGAGGGAGTATCATATTTAGGCTGTAGACCACAACGTTAGGTTTAACGTAAACCCCTGAGCCGAGCTACCAAAGGCTGATTCTGAAAAACACTTGTTCTCAATACGTAAATGCTCAAAATCTCGTGAACTTTTAATATGCCAAAATCAGGATCTCTAAGCCTAGGAAGTTACCAATTGCATTTTTCTGGTTCGTCTACTGTGACAAGTTACTATTACTATCCATATATTAGATCTCCTGACCTAAGCCGGGATTCTCGATAAAACATCGACTAAAGAAGCTACTTCTTCCCTTTGAAGAAGATTCCTTTTATCTACAAAAACTATCCGCCAAAACTATACATGTTTCCATATCATGGGGAATTCCCAGCAGACATTCTACCACATGCATCTCTCCCTATACACCACACACGATTACGACTTGGAGTTGAATTCATCGAACTCACTTTGGAATCACACAATGAGCTTTCCAAATCAGAAGCATGAAGAGGATAGCCATCAACTCTGTTCATCTGGTCAAGAAGCGAATGCCTCACACGGCGCTGCAGAGGACTGGATGAGACACTTGGAATGCTTAGTCCAGGGAAGTGACTGCTTGTCACTGGAGAATTTGGATTGCTGAGGCGGTCTTCTTCGAGAATATCTCCAATCCTTGACAGAATGGAGAATGCCAAGTTTCCCAGAACACGGGAGTATGCCTCAAGAATTGAATGTCCAACATCCTGGAATATTGACAATTACTATTAAAATCCAGCTCATTTAGTAGATATAAGAAGTTAGCAAATCCTCAACATGGTCATACAAAATTTACAGAAAATCGGAAGCTGCTCCCTATTCTTCAGACTAATGAACAGAGGCTAATGACAAACCTATGTTGCCAAATCAACTGCAACATTTAATTCGTAGTGAATCTACGGATAAGGAAAGTATGTTTGGTGATGAAACAACATAAAATATCTTCATGATCGCTTAGGGGGGCAAAAAACCCAACTCCATCCAGTGGGGCTCAAGTGTTTTTCTATTTCCTTCAAACTCATGATAATCTTTCTATATTTTCTTTTCTCTTCTTTGTCCTTTCAAACAGTTTCTCTGTTATTCTGTAAGACTTCAAATGTTAAACATCTTATATCTCATGCATTCTTCATGAGAGTATTTACCGATCAGATGCATTCATCACATAACAGTAGATTACTTGACATCAAGAAATTCTATGTGTTAAGAGGCACAATACTGAGATGTGGATGAATAACTTTTTTTGGTTTTCATGATCCAGTCAGATAGTGTTTACAGGCTGGAAACATACCTTTCCGTATTGGATTTTAATGACATCAAGGAATGTCGGAGGGAGATTTAGGTATCTGGTCTTGAGCTGCTGTCGGAGGAGTTCTGCCCTGTTCAATAAAAACTCAATCGCATCCAATTCAGAAACTGGGTCTTTAGAAAACGACCACGAGCTTCGACTAGGAGAACTGTCACCAGACTGTTCTGCGATTGTCTTTTTCCAAACAAATATAGCAGCTTCTAACTTATTAATTACTTGAAGGGCACTGTGTTCAGATTCAAGGTTGAGGGAAATGATCATGTTTCCTGCTGCGATAGATTCTGCAGCCAATAGTCTGTAGAGTTCATCTCCAACACACGCTTTTCCAGACTGTAAAATTAAATAGTAGGATAAAAAACATGTGGTAGGTATAGAAATCGTTTCATGGATTTCATTATGTTTGTCTGCAAATAAGTTTCTAATGGATAGACTTTAATTTAGATGATTGTTGCAAAGATGTCAGATGATGGAATTTCCTTTCACTTACCTTGTTTAGAGCATCTTTTATGATATCCGGGATAGGCATTTCATTCAACACATTTTCATTAATCGCTTTGGCAGCCTTCAATACTTGATGAACTTGTCTACCTAAATTTAACAACTTCTTCCTTTCATTGTCAGAGAGACCAGTTGCAGGTACACGTGGGGAAGGAAGCCACCATCGTCTGCTCTCACCAGCACTCCTGCTTTTTCCATCTGCTCTACTACCAACTTCTTCATAATAAAACTCATTGTTGACCATAGCATCCAGTGTTTCCTACAAGTTGACAAAATGAACCCTATGAAGAAAGACAACCAATAGGAAAACCTTACCAGAAAGTTTGAAAGTGTCAAGGCAATTTTATTAACTTCTTTATGTCAAAAAGGCAACTTACTATTAGCATTGAATCTAACTTCTCAAGTCCAGGAAGATTCATGTGTATGTCTGCACGAGCTTTTGCCGTCATTATCTGCTTCGGCAGAAAAATTAAATGTCAAGAGATTGCTTTTGTGGGGGCTTATGAGCTAGATTCGTAATGAAAACAATCACCTCTACTATATGTCCATCAGAGCCATTTTTTTTAGTAGGAACCAACTCAACCATGTAGTTGGCTGGAGAAAGTAACCAGTCCATTTCTTTTCTCCATTTGCCCTTGCTTTCCTCTGGTAGTGGCTCTAATTTCCACAGCTCACCAAAAACAGATACTGCAGACAAGTCATAGCATAACAAAGTTAGAAACACTGCATGGCTGCAATGACACACTAGATTTGATAAATTAAATATCGCAGATACTGCATCATTACATTTCATATTAAAGACTGGAACAAGAAACCTTCTGAACATGTATAATGTACATTTGCTATGGTAAAAGCTTCCCTGAAAAAGTTTTCAAGACTTCGATTCTTTGCTATGGCATTCGTAGAGAGATTATGTCCATTTTATAATTTTGTCTAACGTCCCAGTAGACATAAATGAGTGTAGTCTTCGTACAATTTTTGCAATAAAGATTGGTTAATGACTTTACAGATAAACCAAGGAAGTGAGGCTAATTAAGCATGAGCAGCGAGTAACTAGATACAATTGGCTACAATACCTGCAAGATTGTTTATGGCATTGGACAAGGCCAATGCAGTAGAAACTCCCTTCTTTCCTCCTGTGATATCCTCCCCAAGTAACAAATTTGCAAATTTTTCTTTCATAGCTTCCAAATCTGCTATATCAATTGTATAATCTGGCTTTTCCTTAAGGTAAAAATGGTCAGGACTTCCAGTAGATTCCAAATCATCCAGTATGTGATCATCCCTTTTCACTATTCCACGATAGGAAGAGGCCGATCCAGAAGCAATGTAATTGGATGAGCAGCTTGACGCATCATCATCACCGGAATCAGAAACACATCCATCTTCCTTGGTAGTGGCACTTGCATTGTCATAAGGCTGACTGCTGAGAATGCAGCTCTCAAGCCCATTATATGTCACAACTCCTAACATCATGGACATGCAAATGTTTAGTTCTCGGCAGTTTTTAAACACATCTTAAATGAATGTGAAAGAAACCAAACTTGAAAATCTTTCGAATAGAAGATGCACTAATAAATCAGTTTACATTATATTCAATCTCAATACTAAGCGTCTGAGAGCATCATCCAATAAAATTCACAACACATCTAGCATATAATAGTTTAAATCATCTCAAAGTTCTCGTAAAAGAAAATGTTAACTTAATTCGTTAAACTCAACCGATTGGTGCTTTACGAGCGAATCAAGGAAGTTGGAAGCTTGTTTTGGGTTTTCTGTGCAAAACGGGACTCAAGTACATATTCAACTTATTCTTTTTGGGTAGACCTCGTCGTGTTATTAAGTAAGTAATTAAGTTTAAGTTCTTTTCATTGTATTCTTCTGATTTTCTCCATGCTATCTCTCAAGAATATCCCTATATGGAGATACTCCAAACAGAAGGAGCTTTTATGGAGAAAAGTCATTTTAGCCATTGCCTTCAGCGTCCCCACAATCAATATTGAACTTCACATGAAATGAGATAGTATGCACTGTGCAGCATTTGTGAAGCAAATGTGGTACTGCAGTTATGACCACTGCTTTCCATCAATCATGTAATGAATAAGAACAATCTAAATACCAATGGGCCCCAGTCACAAATGTGTTATTGACAAATCACATTCACTATTATTGCTTGATCTATATACACACACACACACACACCCACCCACACACACACACACACATATATATATATACTAGAAAAACACTATTGCAGAACATAAAAACTAAAAAATTGTGAACATACAATTTTTGTTTTCTATTTTGAGAAATTCTAAATAGGACTCCAAAGAGGAAATTAATTGTGGTCTGCGTTTCTTGCATTTTCTTTTTGGAGTCCTTGCGTTTGGCATCTCATAGTAAGAATTTATACCAATATCCTTATAGGGCATCATCCCATTTAACATCGAAACATTTGTGTCTACTTGAGGTAATTAGAATAAAACCTTGACCATTAAACGATTCTTGACAGAACACAACCTACATAGTGGGATAAGGACATATTATTTTTAGTTCTCTTATTCATATTCTCTTGGCAAATAGCCTACATGGTAGGTATGCTACTTAAGAAGATCTAACTTATATCAATATATGAGATGTATGAGACCCATGACAGCAATAAAAGTTTAAATTAGGCAGCATTAATTACGGCAGGAAATAGCATGGTCAAATTAAACGGGTATAAATGAATACTATTACACTATTAACACCTTGTATCTGGTCCCAATTATTGAATGCTTACCTCCTCAAGTTTTTGAGATATAACAATAATTATGATAATAAATGTCCAAAATGATAGATTCATAGTAAATACTGGATTAAATAGAACTTAGTAATTTCTTTAAATACGTTTGAAAAATTATAACAAGTAAAAATAGAAAAATCCTGTTCATTAATTGGGTATAGTTAATACTAGTTGTATGAATTGAAATGATCATAATAAAGAATGATAATTTGTGTATGAATTGAAATGATCATAATAAAGAATTAAAAAAAGGATGGTAGCTTACTATCTTCATCAAAGTCCAAGCTAGCTTCTCTGTCTCTGCTACAGCAAGCAAGTCTTCTTCTCATCATCATCATCCTGATTTCTTTTATCTACTTATACGTTTTGGCTCTTTGCCGCGTTAAACCTAAAACATCAAATAAAGTGAAGGCTTATGTGAAGCGCACCCAAAAAAAAAAAAAAAAAGAAAAGAAAAGAAAAATGGAGGTGGATCCACAGTAAAAACCTCTCTCATATGAAGAGATTATAAAATGTGTTCAGAAATTAGACACTTTCTAAACCCACTTTTTGGTGCAAAAACTGTGAAGCAGACCAACATGCCACATGTGGGAAGCGCACACTCAATTAGTCAAAAATGTTTTTGAGTAACGTCTCCACAGTGTCTTTTTCAGATCAATCAAAATGTCAATCATTCACACAAAAAGCACCTTTAATTACTGTTAAGGGAAAAAAAAAATAGTTTTCAGTCTTGGTACTAGTAAATGAATCAAGCTTTAATCGCTGTTAAATTTTTTGGTCATTTTTTTTTCTAACAAAAAAAAAAAAAAACAGATTTGACAACTACAAAAAATGATTTGAAGACAGTAAGCAACATTAGAAACAAAATAAAAATCCAACGTTCAATCAAGGACAGTACACCGACATGCACGTGGCGTTCTTCTCCTTCTTTTCTCTTTCAATATACGCATACAAAAAAAAAACAATTAAAAAAAAAATACTGTACAAAAAGAAAGAAAGTAAATAAATAAATTATAGAAATGTAGAAATGGGAATCCATGACGTAATAAGATCAATAATATATTGCGTTTTTCAGTTAATCAGTCAAATTAACAAAAAGGGGGAGCTTTTTAAGTTTTGACTTTTTCCCCACAACCTTTTAGGAACCAAAAAGAAAAAAAAAATGCTAATTAAAAAAAGTTTGATTATTCAAATAAGTAAATACTAGTAATTGATTAAGAGGTTAAAAAGGGGACTTCCTGACATATAAAAAATGGAGGGTGGTTTTATTTAAAAAAGAAAAAGAAAAAAAAAAAAGGAGCCAAAAAAATTGTCCGTTTTCATGGGCTCAAGACAAAAAAAGACAACCGATCCGGAAATTAAGATTGAAAATTAAAAAAAAATAATAGAAAATAATGTTGTAGTGCTAGTAGTAAGTAAGTAGTTGTTATGGTGGTCCCTTGATAAAATTTCTTCACTTCTCCGTGGCTCTCTCCGAGTTGACTCGGAGCTCCAAAAGCCCCATTGTTAGTTCTACTGTAACTGTAAGTAAAACTATTATTGGCCATACAAGAAGAAAGAAGAACAAAAGCTACTCCATTATTGTACTGTAATTCGTTTTATCCTTTTAGCCATTTTTTTTTTAATTTGGAATATGACAAGGAAATAAATAAAACACACACACACACCCTCACAAATGGGGCATTGGAGCACGAAAAAAGGGCAATCACTTTGAGAGATTGATTAGTTTGTCAATTTATTTTCTTTTAACGACGAAGCAAGCGAAAAATGAACATCATTCAGAACTCAAACAGAAGCGAGGAATCGAAACTAAAACAAGGAAAATCAAATCAATGAAAGACCCGATTCGACTCATCCAATGTCGACGATTTTTAGAGCAAATCAGGAAACAGAACATCGAACCTCGATCGGCGGGTGGCTCAATTAGAGAGCAACAGCACCCAGCTTCTTCTTCTTCTTCTTCTGCTTCTTCTCTTAATTCTTCGCCGGCCAAAATGGAAACGGGGGAAATTTGGTAAAATGGGAGAATCGTTTTGGGGTTAAAAAAAAAAAAAAAAAAAAAAGAGGAGAAAAAGAAAGAGGAGAAGACAAATCTGAGGTCTGAAATGAGTGTAGCAGGAAGTCAATAACTGAGGGGAATAGTAAGAAGATGAAAATGCATCACGTCCAATTCAATACCAAATTTAATACAGTGTCAGAGAGAAATGACAGAAAAAAAAAAAAAAAGTGAAGGAAAATCTGGAGGGAAACCAGAAGACTTGAGTATTGGGGGGACTGTAAAAAAAAGTTAAGAACAGAGAATATTGTGACTGATGAAGAAGTGCATTAAATAAGGTGGAAGACTGGCAAGAAGCTAGCTCCTAAAAAAACAAAAGCAAATACATTAGTGTAACTGATGGAGCCTGCCTTATTGTTGGGGTCCCATCTTGGCACATACTAATGGAGAAAGGTGTAATTATTAGTAGTTTATGACTAGTGTTCTTAGAGATTATGATAATCTACTTGGTGAACTAGTACTACAAAGTAAAAATAATAGTAGCAATAATGATGCAAATATAAAACAATTAATAGGTTTAAGCTTTAAGTTAATCCATATGGCAAGCTGACTCTTTTTCAATAAACACTATTTTTTTGCCCCCTTAGAATCTGATTATTATTACCTGGTCTACTGAGTGTGACATTCAAATTCAATTTATACATTCATGATGATCTAGTTACCGTTAATAACATTCTATTATTACTTTAATAATGTAGGTTCCTATTGTGTGATTTTTATTACTATTTCCCTTTGTGATTTTTATTCTTCTACTACAATCAATCTGTCCAACAAGTATATAAATTTTTGTCCCAAAAAAAATAAAAATAAAAATAACTGAATTTCATGAAAGCCAAATTAATTGATTAAAATGTTTCGAATTAAAATAGAGGTAAATTATTGTTTTGAGTTGGAAATAGATTAAATGGGGCACAATTGAAATTTTATATAAATGGTTATAACTTGATTGAGTTGATCAAAATTGAGAAATTTTATATATTTGTAAGATGAACTATTTTATCTTAATTGTACCAAAATAGCATCTGTAGCAATTTTTTTTTTGTTACCTCATTAATTTTCATTAGTTAATATAACCATTTATTCTTTGGATTAAAAAAACAACACTTTTCTCATTCCTATCTTTTTTGTCTATCGTTATTTTTTTTTCCCTTGATTGTCTCCTAAGTCATTTGATAGTTCAAATAGAGATTAAATTCTAGTTCGAGTTGGGATTAATAACAAATATTTTTCATGTCATACTGAGATTGAAGCAACTAAGCACTATGATTTTTTCGAGTACATGCACTAATTATATCTACTTTACTTTCCCATCATAATCATTGTAAAACAAAATTTTCCCTGCTCTAAATGACCTCGTTCACAAAATCATACATTAACAAAAGATCTTAAATAACTCGTGCAGATTGTAAACTAAATGGTACTTTAATTTAAAGGCGGACTTGAGAGTCTAAAGTGATATAATGTTGATTGATAATTGGTATCAAGAAAGGCGATGTATTTTGGTTAGATATAAAGAATCTTTTCTTCTACCGTCTTACGAAATACTCCTTCCGGTCATTAATATAAGGCTCCGTTTGGTTGGATTGAATTGGACAAAGAATTGGAATTGGAGGCCTTCAATTCCAATTCTTGTGTTTGACTGACAAAAATAAAGGTACTGGAATTGGAATTATAATTCAAGATGAGTCTCAATTCTTTATTTTCAATTCTTTTGTGAGAGTAAATAATTGCAATTTGAACTCTAGGGACTTTATGAAAAAACGCGGATCACATACGAGTCGTTTTCCGAATTATAAAGAAACGGGTCCTTTTTATGTTTAAGTAAGTGTTTTTTTTTTCCCCTTTTTCCTTCAGCGCTGCACATGCACCGTTTTTTTTTTTTACGTTTTCCCCCCTTTTCTTTGAGACTTTGAGCGCTGGACTTTTTTTTTTTTTTTTTTTTTTACCTTTTTGTTAAAATAATATTTGTTTTTATTCATTGTGCAAACTAAGTGTACATCAGTATGATAATTATTAATGAGATTTATACATTAAAATTAGTATTGTATTTTTTTTTTGACAAAAACTATCAAACGTATAATCATACTCGTAATTTATTAAAAAATTTAAAGGTATTAATTATGGGTTAACAATTTTTTTTATCAAATGTATAAATAATTTTTGAACTATACTTGAATTTTTTTCACTAAAAATTATGTAAGCTTTCAAGAAGACGAAATATATATTATTCCGTATATAATTATATACTAAAGTCAAAATAATTAGTTAGTACCATGTATTAATGTTAATCTGTACATAAATGAAGATCTTTACTTTCAACTATATAAAAATATTCCACTAAAATCCAAAAAAAAAAAAATAATAAAGATTAAAAATTTATAAAATAATAAAAAAATAGAGGAATAAGGATGTTCTACATGTTACTTGTGAGAATTCCAATCATCAAATTAATATTTCTTACGTAATAATAAAAAAAATTCCATAAGTATGTACGTATATAGTAAATTATAAAATTGTTATATATATATATATATATATATTACTCATACAACAAAAGTTCTAATATAAATGTACATAATAAATTTATTTATTTTTTATCTTATATATGTAAGTAATAAATTGCTTTGATATATAAAATTAAGTATTTCTTTTACTCAATGAAATAAAGTACTAGATTATAGTTAGATATTAAAAAACTAATTCTAATTCTAGATTTTATAAATTTATAAGGATCCAAACACAATGATTGGTATTAGAACCTTAATTCTAACAATTCTTAAGATCTTCCAAACAAAGGAATTAAGATTGAATTACAATCTTAATATCTCATTTTTAATTTAATAGTATTGTAGTTACAATTCAATTACAATTCAATCTAACCAAATGAAGCCTAAGGGATTTTAATTTGTTTTAGGTTTCACTTAGTACGTATTTTTAATTGACAAAAAAATCTTAAAATATTTGAAGTAAACGTTGAACGTCACTATCATTAGGTCTTCTAAAATATTGTGACTGAAAAATTTCAATCACGTTATGACAAAAGTATCGTAAACACTCTAGTGCAGTACTTTTACCCATCCTTAAATATTCGTCAACACAATCGGCTGGTAATCCGTATGCTAATTGACGAAGAGCTGCTGTAGATTTTTGAATGGGGGAAAATCCCATTTTACCCGATGCATGAGGCCTTTGTTGAAAGTATTCAGAGTGATTTTGGAGAGATTGTACAATGCGGAGAAATAATTATTTCCTCATGCGGAATCTTGTACGAAAAGTAGCTGAAGAGTATACTGGATTGTCAGAAAATAATCATTAAATAATCTTTGTTCTCCAATTTCGCGCTCTCGATCGATATGCCTTCGTCTTCACGAAGAACTTGCACCTCTTCGTTGCTCAATCAACTCATCCAACCTCCTTAAATCCTCTAGACCCGTGTTATCAAAGATTTGTTCCCGCATATAATCATTCATTTCATCGTAAAAAATAAGAGGGATCAAAATTGGGAAGAGAATTTTGAGACATGGTCGTGTGTGAAGAGTTGTTGCAAAATATATGCATACCAAAGAGTTGAAAAGGCTTGAACAATATTACTAGTCTCATTCCATATTTATAGAGTGTACTTGCAACAAGATCAAAAAAAGATTTGACTATATTATCCAATGTATGGAAAAGATAATGAGAGAGATGTGACTACACTATGGTACGTATAGACAAATAAAAAATGAATGACGTGACTACACTATTAATATATTTAATGGACAAGATAAAAAGAGAGATGTGACTACACTGTAATTGCCATGTTCATGAACAAGGGGTGGACTATCCTTCGAACCTAAACACACGTGTTTTATACCTCAATGAGAACTAGACTTGTTCTCGAGTATAATTTCTTGGATCGATCTATTATATCATCCAATGCTCCAGAAAGAAAATGACTTTATTGTCGATGTTCTCGAGTTTACTTTGTGCCTTGTCAACGTAGGCATGTTTCTTTGATTATGGTGGTTGTCATCCATCTCCTTCTGATAGACGCCATTTTATTGCTTTAACCCTACGAGTATGGGTGCTTTTTGATCAGGCACCGCCTCGAACTGAGTAGCGGGAATCACAGTCTCATCTGAAAGTCTCGGTCTGCTGAATGCCATCCCAAGACTTGGGGGCTCCGAGATGAGTAATGGCTTCGGAGTTATCTATAACGAGGAGCGTTTATATATGGGAGATTGTAAGGCGTCTGGAAAGTGTGTAAGGTGTTTGGAGGTGTTTGGGAGGTTGTGTTTTTGTTTTTTCGATGACCATTGGCCTACGGATCTCTTCCTATGAGTATTGTCAACGGTCCTCACTTAATGCTCAGACTGGGGCATCGTTTCTTCTCACACTGATAAGTAAAACCTCCTCGATTCTTGCTCGAGTTTCGAGCAACGATATTATGCATCTACTCGGGTTCGACATAACAACTTGATTCATACTTCTCAAACCCGGACTAAGGGTTCTATGCTTTATTACTCGGGACGTGAGAAATGGTAAGCGGGTCGAGCGGATATAAATCAGCTTAAATACTTGTGTACCTTCTTCAAGGTTAGACAGTTGCAATTCTTGAGTTTTGTCTAGAGTTCTACTCGAGAGAATCTTCTCGAGTGTCACTATCCCTGCATTGACGTAATCACATGCGGCATCTTCTACGATGTCTTCTACTCTCTTCTATCCCTCCTCGACAATTGAGGATACTTATGGTGACAGTCTCAACTCTTTAAATGCTCTTCTAATCTCGAGCTGGTATATTCAAATCTCTGGGGTCCTTAACATTTTTTTCACAAAAAAGATTATGCTGGGGCAAGTTCTCGACGCGCAGTGTAATCCCAGACAGTGTTCCCTCTTAAACCTATGTCCTCGACATCGAGTATTCTCTGTCTTTATTCCTTATGCTTGTCAATCCACTACTCAGTGGTTGTTCTCGAGGGTCGGGTCTATTACTTGTCGCTCAAAAGCTTACATCACATTCCCCCAGTGGATTCCTCATTTCTACAATTGATATATCTTAGCCGCTGCTAAAGACACAAATTTTGAGACTAGTGGGAATCTCCACTACGTTTCTTTCTCGATTCTCTTAACGAGTGGGGCACCTGTTTTGATATTTCCTTGGAGCATAACGTGGAAGTCATAATGCAAGGCCTTCTCGACTAACGTCTGGGTCAATGACATGAATTGCAATCTTCAAACAGATTCTTCATTCCGACAGTCATTGTATCTTCGAAAGTTATTGATAACGCATCTCTGCATTTGGGATAATGGGAATCTCCA